TCTCTTCGTTTAATCTTGATTTTTCTTTTGCTTTTTGTTGTTCATTTTGTTTGGTTCCTTTCTTTTCGCTTTTTTGTTTTAGTGTTTTTTGTTGTTGTTTTTCTTCTTGGGGGGGTGGGGGGGTGGTGGTTTAGGGTTTAAGGTTTAGGGTTTAGGGTGTATAGAAGGGAAGCTCGCTGGTGCTAAAAGCACTCGGGCCGCTCGCTTGCGTTAGCATGTAGTCCCACCCCAACCACCCAAACTATTCTCATTTTGGGTTTAGGCTTCACGCCCCAAACCCCCCTCAAGGGGGGCTTTCTTGCTTTTACAGAGAAGAGCAGGGTGGGGCCTCCCGAGCTTTGTGGAGCCTGTCAGTGGCTCGTAGGCTTCTGGGAGCTTTCACGGAGTAAAATGGAGGGGTGCCCAAAACCGTCAATTGCAATACTAAAAAACTACATCCGGGCACATGCTGGAACTCGGGGCTTCATGCAGCCTTAAGGGCAGCAGAACGGCAGGGGGTAGCAGGGAAGTTAAAGTAATATTGTTCTCTTCACCTTATTGTTACCTTATGCATGAACCTCACATCCTAATAATAAGACCCCTGTAAGCCAACTTCAGAAACTAGACCAACTTCTGGGCCGCACTCATTACGTTCTTTTGTTCGTAAACTCACGCACTCACTACATTCATGCTTTTATTCATGTGTGCGTGACACGTGAAGAGACTGATGATGGCATGAACGTACCTTGGTGAGCGAGAAATCCAAGCACAAGATTCACCATTAGAACTCACACCTTTAGTATTAAGTGGTCTAGCTCTTGGAAATGATGTTCACTTCGTACCTTACAAATCTAGTATCCTGGCTCGCTACGTTCATTCTATTTCAATGGGCTTCATGCTTCGTTTCACTCATTATAAGCCCAATGAAATGAACTCATACTGAGTGAATGACCGAACGTAGAAGTGAGGCATGAACGCAACGGGCAAGTGATGACAGCCTCCAAGATCTTATTGGGCGCTCTTGTTACGTTCTTACTGCGTTCCTTAAATGACTCCATTCGCTCAATCATTTATTCATTCACTCACTTGTCATTGAATTCTCTTCGTAGTTTTAGTATTATAACGGGCGAACAACAAAGACCAAATGCGCCCGTACTACGTTCGTGCTTACATTCACTGCACGCGTCACTTTGTTCCTTGTCAGTTCATTTCATTCTCACTTTGTATTATTATTAACCTATCCCGCGGGCATAATAAAAACAATGAAAGACAATGAGCCCGCGAATGAAGGTAGCGAAGCGAGGTTTAGGGTTTAGGGTTTAGGGTTTAGGGTTTAGGGTTTAGGGTTTAGGGTTTAGAGTTTAGGGTTTAGGGTTTAGGGTTTAGGGTGTAGGGTGTAGGGTGTAGGGTGTAGGGTGTAGGGTGTAGGGTGTAGGATTTAGGGCTCTTTTTTGGGGGGGAGGGGGGGGGGGTTGGGGTTCTTTTTTGGGGTTTGGGGGTTTGGGGGTTTGGGGGTTTGGTGTTTTGGGGGTTTGGGGGTTGGGGGGGGGTTTGGGGGTTGGGGGGGGTTTTTGGGGTTTGGGGTTTGGGGGTTTGGGGGTTTGGGGGTTTGGGGGTTTGGGGGTTTGGGGGTTTGGGGGTTTGGGGGTTTGGGGGCTTAGGGTTTAGGGCTTAGGGGGTTTCGAGTTGCGGGTTTCGGGCTCTATTGGCGGTTCTGACTATCATGTGAACCCAGACTCAAACAAATGGGGGGAGCCACCCCCAGACCCATCCCCCCTGACCCCCCCCCCACCCACAAAAAAACTAAAGGGTCGTAGCTAGTATCTTGCTCTGCTAAAAAAACACGCCTATCTGCCGAAAAAGATGCTCCTAAAGAAGCTGCCCTCTTGATGCAGGGTGCAGGGTCTTCCAACCCTAAACCCACACCCCACACCCCTAAACCCCTAAACCCTAAACTCTACACCCTAAACCCCGAAACCCTAAACCCTACACCCTAAACCCTAAACCCCTAAACCCTACACCCCTGAACCCCTGAACCCCTGAACCCCTAAACCCCTAAACCCCTAAACCCCTAAACCCCTAAACCCCTAAACCCCTAAACCCCTAAACCCCCAAAACCCCTAAACCCCTAAACCCCTAAACCCCTAAACCCCTAAACCCTAAACCCTACACCCTAAACCCTACACCCCTAAACCCCTAAACCCCTGAACCCCTAAACCCTAAACCCTAAACTCTACACCCTAAACCCCTAAACCCCTAAACCCCTAAACCCCTAAACCCGTAAACCCCTAAACCCCTAAACCCTAAACCCTAAACCCCTACACCCTGAACCCTAAACCCCTAAACCCCTAACCCCTAAACCCCTAAACCCCGAAACCTCTAAACCCCTGAACCCCGGCTCCAAGAAGGCCTTGGGAAGCGCTACGTGGAAGACGTCCACAGGCACCCGTCGCCTGGCACCCTTCCTGGCTCTGAGAGGGCTGGGCTTTGCACTGGGGGTTTAGGGTTCTGGGATTTAGGGGTTTAGGATTTGGTGTCTGGGGCTCAGGGTTCAGGGTTCAGGGTTCAGGGTTTAGGGTTCAGGGTTTAGGGTTTAGGGTTTAGGGTTTAGGGCTTAGGGCTTTGGGCTTAGGGCTTAGGGCTCTAGGGTTAGGGTTTCAGCGTCTAAGGTTGTTTAGGGTTTGAGGGTCGAGGGTTTTGTGTCTTGAGTGCAGGGATCCCGTAGGGTCTCTACACTCTCCGATGGGGCTGTTCCCGAGTGCTCTTCGGATTCTTGTTAAGGATCAGCCCTTGGTTTATCAATGATATGGAGCTGAGAGTGTGCGGCTGTCGTCTTCTGGGTTTAAATGTTTTAGGGTTTAAGGTTTAAGGTTTAAGGTTTAAGGGTTAGGGTCTCGAAATGGCGGTCTCGTTGCCGTGGTACCTCACAAAAGACCCCAATTCAGGAAAGCGCCCAACACAAGGCCCCCCTCAAACCTCAAACCCCTGGACCCCAAACCCGAAACGCTTCTTCTCAGCAAGCCCCGAGCCCAACTCCAAACCAAAATTAATTTTACTTCGGCCCGGCCCCCCACCCTCTCTTGGTAGAGATACTCTGGGGTTGGGCAGGCACTCTGGGGTTGGGCACTCCAGGGAGACTCTGGGTTGGGCACTGGGAACTGTGGGGAAAACTCTGGGTTGGGCACTCCAGGGAGAGTCTGGGGTTGGGCAGACACTCTGGGTTGGGCAATTGAGGGAGACTCTGGGGTTGGGCAGACACTCTGGGTTGGGCACTCTGGGGAGACTCTGGGCTTGGGCACTGCAGGGACACTTTGGGGTTGGGCACTCCAGGGATGAGTGAGGAGTAGACCGGGCAAGGAGAAGAGTTCCGGGCGAGGAGAAGAGTTCCGGGCGAGGAGCAGAGTTGAGTTTAAAATCTAACAACCCCACACCGAGGGTGGGCAAAAAAAAAACCCAAACCCCCAAACCCCAAACTCTCAACCCCAGACTCTAAAACCTAAACCCTAACCCCCAAACCCTTGAGCCCTAAGAACCCTGAACCCTAAGCCTGCAAGCCCCGAGTTCGATCCCCAGCGGCAGGGACACGCGAAGGCATTGCGGTGCAGTCTCCTCGCTCCTGGCTTCCTTGGAAGCGCCATCAGAGAACCCCGTATGGGGTTTAGGGTTTGGGGCTTAGGGCTTAGGGTTTAGGGTTTAGCCTAAGCCCTAGACCCTAGAACCGAAACACGTGGTTGAGGGTGAGGGTAGAGGTCCTCTCAGCATGCACAGAGGTTCGCGTAGGTAGGTGGGGGCATGCTTCTTGCCCCTAAACCTACTTGCACGCAATCCATCCAGTAGGCGGTTGGGGACCAGCCTTCAAAAGGTTGGTGGGGTTGAGGGGTTTTAGGGGTTCAGTGCTTCAGGGGCTTCAGGGGGTTAGGTTTCGAAGGTTTGAGGCTCAAGAACATCAAATCCCGCTCCATAAAGCACCAAAGCCCTGAACCCCAAACCCGAAACCCTGAAACCCCGAAACCCTAAAACCCTAAACCCAAACCCCAAACCCCAAACCCTAAACCCCAAACCCCTAAACCCCAAACCCCTAAACCCCAAACCCCTACACCCCAAACCCCTGGGGGGGCACCTTGGATGAGTCCATCACAAACTTGTCGAAGGTCTTGATGGCCTCTTGATCCTCCACAATCAGGTCCGCGAAAGCACGGCCCGTCACGTCCTCTGAGGTTTCAGGGTTTAGGGTTTAGGGTTGAGGGTTGAGGGTTGAGGGTTGAGGGTTGAGGGTTTAGGGTTTAGGGTTTAGGGTTTAGGGTTTAGGGTTTAGGGTTTAGGGTTGGGATGTTGCCCCTTATACTAACAGTCCTCAATAGGGATTAAAATAGGGGGGACTACCGAAAGTGTTACAAACCCTAAATCCTAAACCCTAAACCCTAAACCTTCATAGGGATTCTAGTACCCCCCCCCCTATTCGAATCCCTATTCAGGACTGTGGGGAACATCTCAAGCCTGGGGGGGTCGACATGAACGCTACACATCTAAAGAAGGTTTATGGCCTGCCTCCGCTAAGGCCGACTGGGCAGCAGCACATCCCCACATTGAATGAATAGCGCGCGCGCCCCAAGCCATGCCATCTAAGCGCCCCTCCGAAGCCCATTCGGTGGATTTTTCTTGGGTCCCAAACCCAAAGTTCTAAACCTAAACCCGAAACCCCTAAGCCCTAAGACCCTCGACAACCCGAAGCCCTAAGCCCTAAACCCCTTCTCGTTCGGCCTCCGGTGTCTCGAGGAGACGCTTCAGGCAGCCGGAGCCACCGCAGATCTTGAGGCCACTATCCTGAACCATTTCTTGGGATGTTTAGGGTTTAGGTTTTAGGGCTTAGGGCTTAGGGCTTGGGGCTTAGGGTTTAGCGTTTAGGGTTCCGGGATGTGACTCAAAAAATAGGTATGATTGTTATGGTTTGTGTTCCTTATGTTGGGCTAGCTTGTTGTCTATTCGGTGTCTTACCGCGCCTTCTTGGGCTATGTAAGTTTTCATAAAGATGAAAAAGTGATCTTCAAGCGTGACCCAGTATCCAGCAGCAGGTCGCCATCGCAAACGCCTTTCCTTTGGCTTGCTACGCATCATATGGGGAATGATGGAATGGGGGGGGGGGAAGTTTAGGGTTTAGTGGCTTGCTTTCGATAACCGCCCCTCCTGCTCCCTCACCCCCCCCCCCCCCCCTGTGTGATAGACGCCTGTTGCTTATTAGGGTTGCTAGAGAAGGAAGGAACACGAACAGTAGTTTGCTATAGAGCCAGAATGAAAGCATGATTTATGAATCTTCCCTTGGGTCCTGTGAATGAGCGAACAATATATCCTCCGCAAACGATGCAACACGAGGGACTGTTAGTACAAGGGGTAACATCCCAACCCTAAACCCTAAACCCTAAACCCTAAACCCTATAGCCTAAAGCCTAAAGCCTAAACCCTAAACCCTAAACCCTAAACCCTAAACCCTAAACCCTAAACCCTAAACCCTAAACCCTAAAGCCCAAACAACACGAAGGAGGCCAAGCGCAAGCCTGGGCCCTCAGCAATCGAATTCAAAGCACAGGCGCAGCATCTTCCGGAAGGCAGACCTTTCTCGGGAAGATCTCCGGCAACTGAGGTTAGGGTTAGGGTTTAGGGTTTAGGGTTTAGGGTTTAGGGTTCAGGGTTCAGGGTTCAGGGTTTAGGGTTTAGGGTTTAGGGTTTAGGGTTTAGGGTTTAGGGTTTAGGGTTTAGGGTTTAGGGTTTAGGGTTTAGGGTTTAGGGTTTAGGGTTCAGGGTTCAGGGTTCAGGGTTTAGGGCTTAGGGTACAGGGTTTAGGGTTTAGGGTTTAGGGTTTAGGGTTTAGGGTTTAGGGTTTAGGATTCAGGGCTTAGGGTTTAGGGTGTAGGGTGTTAGGTTTAAAGGCATGAAGGATGAGGAGGGCCTCAGGCTGAGGAGGGCCCCGAAACGCTGAGACCCGCCCCCCCTTACTGTCGAAAGGCCCACACTTTCGAGGGTTTTGAACCTTTGGGTTTAGGGTTTAGGACCGCACTTTCGAGGGTTTAGAACCTTTTGGTTTAAGGTTTAGGACCCTAAACCCTAAACCCGAAACCCTAAACCCTAACTCTAGGCGGGGCTCTTATGCAATGGACGGGATATCAAGATGTGGCAATCCAGGGTGAGATGGGACGCATAGACACCAACAGCGCCCCCAAAACAAAACAATTCTGAGCCCTCAAAACCCTGAACTGCAGAAGAGCCCCTCTGAACAAATGCCCGAACTTAAAAGCCCTCAAGACCCTTCCCCCCTTCCCCTACTCCCCTAAACCCGAAACCCTAAACCCCAAACCCTAAACCCTAAACCCCAAACCCTAAACCCTAAACCCTGAAACCCTGAACCCCAAACCCCAAACCCTAAACCCTGAACCCCAAACCCTAAACCCCAAACCCTAAACCCCAAACCCTAAACCCTAAACCCATAAACCCTAAACCCCCCGTAATCCGAGGGACACCAGGGAGTCGGCATCCTGGGAGTTCACGAAGGCGAGGATGCGCTCGCGGTGCGTCGTCTCCGTCACCACCGCGAAGAGCACCGCCATCACGCTCTGGGAGGGCGAACGCTGCTGGGCTTGGAAAGAGGTTCTGAGAGCGCGAGAGAGGGAGGGGGAGAGGGACTTTTGACTTTGAAATCGCAGCACTCTGTCGAGTACCTAGCGCGGAAAGGGAGACAGACCCGATGAAGAGTCCGGCCCAGTTGGCTGTACTGTGACATCTCCGTACTCGCGTTAAAATGCCCGCAGTACGTCCCAAACCCTGCCCCGTAGCGACACTACCAGCAGGCAGGGACGACTTTGCAGCATACTCCACCTACCCTAGCAAAGCTGAAGACAAAGAACATAACAGTTCTGCTCCAAAACTCTCAACTGCTTTGAGCTGCATCTAGCGGCCGGCTGGCTGTCCTCAGTACACCACCAGGTCGGACTCCCGTGAGGGGCCGTTGCAGAGGCGAAATCCCCGCTCGCCATGAAACTACGGTAGTGTCCCCTGTTGACTGTGTCTCCAAGATGATACACACCCGCCAGCAGGCGGTATCTGCTCATCGTCACCGAGGTTGAGGTTGAGCTCCCCTGGAACACAGGAATGACAAGCTCAGCGTGCGGCGTACACTGAATGCGATGTTGGGCCTTCAACGTCCGGTGATTTCCCTCCCCATCGCTGCGCTCACGATACCTGCCCAGGCAGAGGTACACGAGAGGCGTGGCCCTCACCAGAGCGTGTGGGCAGACCAGTGGATCATGCTGTGCATGCCAGTGCGTTATGCAGTCTTGGAGGGTTGTGGCACTGTCAGGCAGTTCAAGGTAAAGAATGCCCTGACCTGAGTCCCGCACCGGCGCCGGCTGGGCCGTTTCAGGGACGGTGCGAGCTTGCCACTCGCCTTGCGCTGCGGGGGGCCCCCTCGTCTAAGTAGATGGCCCAGGAATTCCGCACAATCTTGTTGGGAGGCACGATCTCCTACAACCTGGCCCCATCCTACTAGCAACGCTTGCCAGGCCATAAACTGGCGTAAATCAACAACCCGTCTATGACCCCGACACAAGTAATTCACCACAAGACCCAAACCACTCGAGCTGCTTGTGACGAGCGAGGAAACTCGAAGTGTGAAGGCCAGCAGAAATGCAGCCGCATTCATATAACACAGACTAGAGGGATTTAGAAGTTTGAGTGTCAGCAGACCCTCCAAGGCAGGGGCTCCTGAGCGCCCCGAAGGGGCTCCGGCACCCATGGCGGGGCCGTTCATCCGCACAGAGCTTGCTGCAGAGCCTGTGCCAAATGTGGCCGGATTGCTCGCTCCGGCTTGATGCGGGCGCCCGTCCAAACCACCCCCTCAAAATCTGCATGGCTTCGTGCGCCACCGGGCTCTGCAGAGACAGCTCCAGCTGGAACGTCATGAGCGGACCCTCCAACTTGCCCTTGAGAGGGCGAAAGGAGTCGTACTTGAGGATCAGTTCCGGCGTCTTGAAGATGATGATGAGACGCTCCAGCTCCTTGAGGACCTCGGCTCTCGGTCGAGGCCGCTTTTGGGGGTCCACCACCATGATCTCCTCGCTCGGGTCGTAGACCAAGTGGTTCCAATGACCCTCTGCCGTCATCCAGCGCAGTTCCGTGAAGCGGGTGCGATCTGCCTGCGCCTGTGCTGCAGAGGTCTCCAGCATCATAGCTCTCTCCCGGAGTTCCTGAAGCGTGTAGAGAAGGAGCGTTTGCCGAAGTGTCCGAGTGAGGTTGGGCGACTTCTCGAGCTTCAGCCGGCGCCAGGTCTCGGCCTTTTTGTAGGAGGGCGGGCAGGAGGCATTCCGGGGTGTCGTCGTTGCGGTATGTGATGATGACCGTGTGGTCCGAGCGCAGGCGGGCTTGGTAGTCCGTGTGTCGCAGCAGCAGTTGCCCCATCCGGAGCGTCATCTCCTCCCTTTCGCGGACTGCGTTCTCCTCTCTGGGGCGCGAAAGAGAGCCTCCGCTGCTTGAGTTGCCCTTTCCTGCGCCCTTCCCCCTGGATTGGCGGCCCGTTCCCCACGGCATCCGAGATTTGGGGGGACGTTCCTGCCCCGGCTTCCCTGCATGGGGCCGCTTGCCGAACACCTCCGCCATTTCCTGGTCGATGAGTTCTTCCTCGGACATAGCGTCTCGCCTGCCACAGAGCCGGACAAGTGCTACAGTGAATATCAGTGCGTGTGATCGACTGGTGACAGTGCGGGCACGGCGAGAGCACCCGTCCAAATCTCCTACAATCAGCAGCAGCCGGTTTGGCCCATGCGGCGTAAATGTCTGGGTGCACGTGCTTATAGTGAAGTTTGATGCTTTTTATACTGACCAGCCATTGCCCACATTGGGCACAGCCCTCACGTAAGATCTGAGCTGCCGAGGGAATTCGGAAGATCTCAAGCCATTGACTCATGGGGGCGTCGCGGAGCTGTGGCCAGTCTGCGAGAGGAATCCAAGCCTGAGGAGCAGAAAGAGTGGATGACTCCATCGGGACTGGAGGGACGGGGGGAGGATCGTCCTGAGGAGGGGAGACATCTTGAGACTGTTGGGTCCGCAGCCACAGCACTGGACAGTGTCTGTAGCGGTGGTGGCGCTTGAAATTATTCCACGACACCAGATCCGCTTGACAATGTGCACAGACCGGCATCCCTCCCACACTATGTTCCCGAAAACCCGTTTCCGAGGATACCGGCAGGGTGTGAGCATCATGGGCATCTTGCAAATGACGCTTCAAGGCAGCCAATTCTGCGAAGCACAGGTCGCAATGCCAGCAGTGGAAGAGAGCTTCCTTAAGCCCGCCCGAGCTGTGTACCAGCTGACCCCACGGAGCTCCCTCTCGAGATCGTGGCGGAGAGGGCAGCACCTGATCGACGAGCTCGCCTTGAAAAGCCTCAGTTTGGGCCCGAAGCGAACTTGAGAGTCGGGTCAGGGCTTCATGTACCACTCGGAGTCGACCTAGAACCCTGGGATGAGAGACCTGCGGGTCTTTGGTACTCCAGCTAGATTCGACTAGAGTTTGGTTCCTCTGCCGGATCGCCTCCAGGGGGTCCGCCACGCCGAGTCTGTCAAGGAGAGCTCTACTAGCTTCGTGGTGGATGTGCGCGAAACTGCCAGCGATTGCCCGAAGGTGTCTGACCAGAGCAACGGTCAGCCTGCGGAGATGCTTGGGCCAAAGGCCAACAACGTGCAGGCCATACACGGCTGAGGAGAAGACGCACGCCCGCCACAGCTGAACTCTACGCCGCAAGCTAACCGATCGGGAGTGAAGGACACGGAGAATACGAGAGCGATTTGCTTCTGCGCAGGACAGGCGATGTGTCAGCGTGGCGCCCTCAAAGTCGCCATAACTGAGAACTACCCCCAGGCACTTGATGGAGGACACAATTGGCAGATGGTGCGGCTTCCCGTTGGGGGCCGGGATAAGAAGGACTCTGCCATCGGGGGTGTCCAAGGTGTGTCGACGTATCCAAAGGCGCGCTTGCCTTCCCCTAAGCGCGAGGACCACTTTGGTCTTCTGTGGCTGGACTTGCAGTCCGAGCTCTTCCAGCAGCTGAAAGCTCTGACTGACAGCCTGCATGAGCAGATCCAGGTCCTTTCTGGTGTACACCTCCCAGGTTTCCAGGAGATCGTCCGCATACATAGTGACAAGGTCGGTGACCCATTGGGTGCCGCATTTCTCCGCGAGGGCACGCAGTAAGGCAACGGTGATGAGCGACCATAAAGATGGAGCTGCCTAACACCCCGTGTGCTGTGAACCGCGCGGCGGGGATCCTTGGGCACAGGGTGATAGGAGATGGCCGTGTGCATGCGCATTATGAAGTCAACGTCCTCAGGGTGGACTCCTGCGCTGCACAGCTCCGATTTAAGGACCTGCCTATCGACCGTGTCGAAGGCCTTGGAGCAGTCAACACTAACCATAACTCCCCCATAACATTGGCCCTGTGGGCCACTGCCGGTGCGCTGTTTCAGGGTCACTCTTCCGGAAGCAAGACGATCCCGAACTGCCACACAGTGGGCCGTTACTCTGGCGATGGCGTGCTCAATGCATCGACCACCGAGATAAGCAAATTGCGGCCACGGAGCCAACGCCTCCCGAAGAGTGGGCTGGAGTTGGGAGGTGAACGCCTTGGTGACCGCCTTCCCCCCGCAATCCGTCAGGGATATGGGGCGTTGCTCCGCTGGGGTGGTACCCGTCTTCCCCTGCTTAGGCAACCAAGTCAGCCAGGAATCGGCCCAAAGCGGGGGGAAAACAGCCGCTGGAGGCCTGGCCCGCAAGTAGAGCCGATGGAAGTGAGATCAGCACCGAGTTTCCAGAGCAGGATGGGAGCCAGATGACGGGGAACTGCTTTTCGCGCGGAGACAGACCGGAGAGCCTGGAGGACGTGCTCCAGGGTTAGGGACACGGGCGGCGCAGTGTTTTCAGCTGGCGGTGCCAGCGGTGGGAGCTCTTCCCGCGCAGAGAGAGCAGGAGCATACACCGTACGACAGTATGCCTCATATGCATCTGCTTCAGCTGCAGAGGAGAGCAACTCGCCTTCCGGACCCCGAAGCTGGGTCCGCATCCGCGGTTGTTTGGGCATGAACGTTCGAACGACCGCAAAAAGAGCGGAGCGGTCCCCTTGTTGTTCTGCCTGAGCCGCAGCGGAGATGCGGTCGTCCATCACTTGCCGCCTCGCCTTACGACTGGTCTTTCGCAGCGCCCTGTGCAGGGCAAGATATCTCGCAGCCGAGCACCAGCCCTGCCAGACACTGCGCAGCTGTATTCTGACGCGGGCTGTGAAGTGTAGTCGCACCACCACATCCCAAATATTTGACAGGCTCAGAGGAAGCACTGAAAGACCAGTCGACCAAGAAACCTCGAGAGCACGACGCCGTGCCTCCCACATTGCTCCCACTAAGCCGCGCACCTGTGGAAGATGCGAGAGAGGAGGGCGAGGCTCTTCGACCATCAGAGGCGTCGCCGCTTCTTGAAGACAGTCGTTAAGCTCCTGTGGCGTTTCAGCGTTCGGCAACGCAAGCGCCAGTTTTTCGCGGAAGGCTCGAATGGCTTCAGGAGTTTGGGCAAGGCTAAGCTTTGCCTGTTTCGGCACACTGGGAGTGGCCGGCGCAGTGGCATACCAACAGGCAGGAAACGACCCATAGACCGGGTGGTGCAGAGGGCCGTACCGCCACTTCGAGACAGGACAGTTGTGGTCCGACTCAGCGCCACGAGCCATATCATCAACCTGATGCGCACGGCCAATCAGAAAGTCAATTTGAGTGAACGTTTCTCCATTCTGAAAGGTACAGGCACGTAAGCCACTCTTCCAAGTGTTGATTGCTTGCAGGGAGTGAGTCTGCAACAGACTCTGAAAGAGTGGCTGGTCGGGAGGGCGCGCTCTGGCAGATTTAGTGCCTGGGCCGAACACTTGACCATCCATACGGCCGCCGACATTGAAATCCCCGCCCAACACCAACACGTTTCGCCGCGGAACTCCTCCGAGAAGTTTTTCCAGCTGTACCCAGAGATGCTCCCTTCGTTGCAGAAGCGAGGCAGTATCCCCGCTGTGACTCCAGCAGTGCTGATACAAACATACTACGTCCACCGGCTTTGTTCCCAGAGAGGCCCGCACGTGAAGGAGGTGGCCCGGAACTATGGGCGCCCACCGCACTCCGGAGGGTGTGAATCGTTGCTTAGATAGTAAGATCGCACACCCCTGATGACGATGGCCAGCAGTACCCGAATGGATCACAATGTAGCGAGGGAGAAAGAACATATTGCTGTGTGACCAATGTGTTTCTTGCAGGAGGATGATGTCCTGAGTGCATTGGTCATGTATCCAGATCTGCACTTCGTCCCACGCGTCCTGCGAGAGACCGCCCACATTGAGCGTAAGCACGGTAAGTCGGGGGCCATGCTTCGCATAGGGGGAGCGGGAGGGAGCAGCAGTTGAAGAACCTGGCAGACCCTTGGAGGTGAACACAGCTCCCGGACGGCCACCCAGTTCCTGTAAAGTACGACAACGGCCGCGATACATGGTGGTACCATGAAGTTGCGCTCGACGCAGAGCCCTCTGGAAGGCTCGTTTTGCAGTTTTGAAGGTAGGGGGAGAAGCCAGCAAGTCAGGAACATTCCTACCTCTAGGCTTCGGGACAGCCTTGTTAACAGAGAGACCTGGAGCACCAGCCCCTCCGGGTGGCGGGGAGGTACCCTGACCACCAACCCTCACACCACTAGACACCACCAAGGTCGAGAAAATCACGAGAAGAAACACATAGGTGTGTCTAGCCCCGGACTTGGGACCGGGACGGCTCGACGTGCGTTGGCACATTGCATAACTGACACAGCTGAAGTTAACTTTGAGAAAGTGCTTGAACATGAGAGCGAGCAACCAAGGCCAGAGCCACCATGCCTGATTCCGCGAAAACAGTCCACGTACCTGACAGAGGCTTGAGGAACTTACGAGTGTGACTCGCAGCTTTAACCGAAGCAACTGCCTACAGCACATCTCGTAAAATGCCACTGAAGCTGATGTGTCTGAGTCAGGCGTGAGAAAGTGACGACGCCCTGGCCGCAGTGGCTCTGCAGCTGCGCCTCGGTCCCCTTGGGGGGCCGTCAGCCCACTCGGGCGCGGAAAAAACTGGGCAAAGGCTAGTTCCCTATTTGCTAAGGAGTCCCACCAGCGAAGCTTCCTATACAGGCCTGTCGGAATACCTTCGTGGAGAGAGTGGGTCAGGTTGAGCAGCGCACAGAAGTCCTGCTTCCACTCATATCGGGAGGCTTCGAGACCCACTTCAGGAGGTGGAAGTTGGAGAGGCTCATGAGGGAGCGTCGCACCACATTCCCGGCCAAACCACGCCTCTGTCGCGTCTCCCACAGCTTCCGGCTGGTCTCCTGGGAAAAAGACGTGGACCTCGGGAAGCAGACAGGTCGCCGCAGCACCCACGCACCAGTTGCCCACGCGCGGCACACCCGAGGTGGCCGGAGAGTTGTGAAAGGCTGAGTGGTACTTGCGGTAGTTGCCTTTGGCCAAGAAGGCCCGATACCGCTCAGCATGCCCGGCAGCTTTAAGACGATGAGAAATCTCTCTGACAGAGTCGAAGATGCCCCAGATTCGAACACATTCGGATTCTGTGGCTGTAAAAGCAACCGCGGGTATCAGGACTGGCGCCGGCACTGACCTGTGTCTTTTTGGCGGCGGCGGGGGCGGCGGCGGCACCGTCTGCGTCGAGCAGTCAACCCTGGACGGCGTCGCCTGGGCCCATCCGTCGACCCTCTGGGGGGACGCAGTGGAATTTAATGTTGCTGTTCTGTGGCGCCTCCAGAGACATCCTTGGTGAGAGGCTGTTGGGGGGGTCCTGGCAAAGGTGTGGGCGTGGAAGACACCGAAGCCTGCGCGTTTGAAGCCCCCTGGTCGGCTGTGTGAGTGGGGCAGCACGTGATGGCAGCTTTGGCACCATGCCCAGACTGTTGCACAGGTGACGGAGCCATCGGAGGCACCTGCTGGGAAGTCTGAACTCCGGCTCCCAGGAAAGGGGCCGCTTGCGTCATCTTAGGGTAAAAAGCTGGTGCGTTGGCAGACATGGCAGATACCACTGGGGCTTGCTTGCCAGAAGATGCCTCCACCCGCTGCTGCGTAGCCGGCGGCACAGTTGAAGACGCTGCAGCCACTGCAGCGGGCTCGGCTGCAGCGGTCCCCTGAGTGGGGGCCGTCTGTGCTGCCTTCTCAGCAGCTCTGGTCGCCCGCTTGGCCAGCTCCCCCGCCGAACGGCGCCGAGTCCCATCCTCCCTTTAGCGGTTTCGGGGTCCCCCGTGGGGCCTCCAGTAGTTACCTCTATCTTGGTCCATCTGCGCAAGTCGGCGGGCATGCAGGCATGAAACGGCTGCTCCGCAACTACCTAGCAGTCTAACTTGCAAGCCCTGCACAGACAGAAGGGGCGCGCCTCACCCTGGCCCTGGTGAGTCGACGCCACCTCCGACGGAAAGGAGCTGGCACGTATCTGAACTTCCACACCCTACTCAGGTACAGCCTGCCGTTTGCTCCGTGCCGAGCCCACGACCTATGACGGTACCCAGACGGGCGCCGAGAGCAGGAAGCAGCCTGGGCAGCAAATGAGTAAAGCTGTACTGACAGACAAGATGAGGTGTCACTGCATGCACGGGTTTGCGCATGTGTCCCTTGCTGGATGCTTTTGCAGCGGATGACGCGCTGGATATGCTCAGGGGCGATGGCATCTGGCGTCAGCAGGTAGCCATTGCGTGAACGGAAGAGCGTGAGGCCGGCTGCCAGGAGGATTTCGGGGTTCATGACCAGCACCACCTCCGAGTCTGCTCTAACCCCATCCATGCTCGTGGCCATGTGGATCCAGCCTGGCCTGGACTTGTCGATTGTGGCCCTGCACTGCTCTTATTCGGGGTCCAGAGGGGTACTGGATCTCTTCAAACCTGCCCTTCCTGTCGGTGGCCACATAAAGAACTTCACCTTCGGTAACGCCGAGCTGGCGCAAGTCCCTTGCCTGGACCAGCGTGCGCAGATCACAGGTGCCGTCACCCAGGATGGGGACGCGGAGACGGACGGCGTCGTGGCGCAGGATGCAACTAAGTATCCCACTGATACGGCGCCGACGCTCGCCATAAACCGGAGTTCGCGGCGCCTCCCGAGGACATCTTGTCGCCAAGGGAGCCATCCCGGACGAAGACGAAGAGGGCCGTGACCGACTGTCTCTCGACGAGGGGCCCGGTACCCTGTCGGGCGCCGCAGCTCGTGACCTTGGCCACCACTTGGCGGTGGGTGGAGACCGGGAACCTTCAGAGGATCGCGGTACCACTGCGGGCGCCGAAGTTGGTTCCTCTTCAACGTCCTCCACGTCAACAACCTCTACAACCTCTACGGCCTCTGGGTCTGCTCTGGCACACTTCCTGCTGGGCGGCGGTGGAGAAGGAGGCCTTCTTCTTGAAGCATGAGCAAGAGGAGGAGGAGGGGTCACCGCTGCTCTTTGTGCCTGCCTCTCAGCTCTTGCCTCTAGTTCTCCCTGTGTTCTGCGCCTGGTTCCGTCGGGCCTCACCCTCGCTCGGTGTCCTTTACGCTTGTGCCATGGTGGCATCCCAAAGGGGCCGTGGGAAGTGTCTGTCTGCGTTGCTCAACTGGGGTCTGCCGGGCTGTGAGGGCGGGTGAAAAAGCGTGAACTTGAGACCTGCCTCTGCATGTACACATCAATCCCCATTGCCCTCGGCTAGAGCCGCAGCCAGTCTCACTGCTCCCTGCAGGGCGCTGAAGACCAGCACACAAGAAGAACCATGCACAGTCTGCCTTTCCGGTGTGCTGTAGCCGCCGGGAGCCCGGCCGAACGAAGTCGAGTATCCGGCGGCACTCCACCCGGGCCAAGTCCTGACACACGGAGGGCTTGAGAGAGGCTTCTCTTAGGGGAAGCTGCATGCATACCTGGTCTGCGCTGCTCCGGCTCCCCGAGGGGGCCGCGTGGCTTCCCTTTTGAAGCAGTGTAACCCTCATGACTGCCCCCGAAGTGCTGGGCTGAGGGAGCTGCAAACCCCAAACTCCAGCCCAAGAGAAGCGTTCCTTCCTCACTGCGGAGTCAGTCCTTAGCATGAAGACCAATTCAGCTTCCTGAGCATCAATCGTGCCCTGCTGCTCCTGTTTGTTAGCCGCCTCCACCAACTCGTCCGCAAAGGGAGTGTTGCTTCGGCTCCCAGAATATGGGGCCGTCGGTGGCTTGTTGGTGTGCATTGCCAGGACCATGTCAAAAGAAGAAGGGACCAGACTCGCCGGCATGTACGCACCATAGGAGAGAGACAAAGACAACGACTGAGAGACACAGAGAGAGAGCTAGAGGCTCTTTCTGTTGCGAGGAGAGAGCTTCTCTGAGAGGGAACCTTCCGAGAAGCTCCTCAAGCCCTTTGCTTCACTTCCCACGGCGCCTGGTAGAAGAGGTGCAGGAAGAACCAGTAGGTGAGCGCCTCGATCCCGCAGACCTGCCAGGTCGTCCACGCGTAGGCGGAGAAGAAGCAGACCTGCTCTCACAGAGGAGGAGGAAAGGGTCCAATTCCTACAGCATACCTGAGCCCAACCCAAGAACCCTCAACTCTGAACCTTAAATTACACCCCATGAGATTTCTAAACCCGAAAAGCAGAAGTCCCCGGTGCCCCTCCGAAAGCCCTCGAAACCCTGAACACCTCCGAAAGCCCTCGAAACCCTGAACCCTGTTTAAAGTTTAGGGTTTAGGGTTTAGGGTTTAGGGTTTAGGGTTTAGGGTTTAGGGTTTAGGGTTTAGGGTTTAGGGTTTAGGGTTTAGGGTTTAGGGTAACCCCTACACCCCTCATGCCCCCTCTTGGGAGACTGGGAGGCGCACCGAGAAGAAGACTGCGATGGCCAGGTGCGGGTAGACAATGGCCAGGATGGTCTGCGCCTTGATCAGCAACTCCTCAGAAAGGGGTTTAGGGTTTAGGGTTTAGGGTTTAGGGTTTCGGGTTTAGGGTTTAGGGTTTAGGGTTGTGTCCGCGTTGAGGGTTAAGGAGTTGCGGGTTTGGGGGTTTCGCCTGCATCTCTCATTGAAGTTCAGGGCACCCGAAAAGCGGTTGTAACCCCAGATCTGACCCCACATGCTCCCAATTCCAACCCCCACCCACTCCCCCCCCTCTCCAGCCGGACCAAGGTGCTTTGTAGGGTTTTGGGATTTAGGGGTTTAGGGCGTTAGGGCGTTAGGGCGTTAGGGTGTTAGGGTGTTAGGGTGTTAGGGTGTTAGGGTGTTAGGGTGTTAGGGTGTTAGGGTTTAGGGGCTTTAGGAGCTTTAGCTCAAGTTTGTGTAGGTGTTGCCTGGTGAGCTTGTTTAGGGTTGCAGGGTTTCGGGCTTAGGGTTTTGGCTGTTTTCGGTTTTTCGGCTTTTGGGCCGTGTCACGGAACCAGATATACACCAATGTTTACAAGGAACCCTGTCTGGGGGGTTTCCGAAATTAGGGGTACCTTCTTCGGTTCCTGATTGAAAGGGAATCCTGCTATTTGGGGGCTTATATTCGGGGTCCCTTGTTTTCGTACACTTCCATATTACTCAACTAACCATACCATGCACTACAGAGTCTACAGAGGTGGAAGAACCTTGGTTGCTAAACGTTAACCCTAAACCTGACAACCCAGACCCTAAACCCTAAACCCCGAAACCCTCAACCCTAAGCCTAAAACTTACACGTCAAACTTTAGACTCACCTGAAAAGATGAGGCTCACGTCGAGACAGGTAGTCGTCTTTCTCCTGCCACTGGCTGAAGAACCTGTGCTTGGGCAACTTAGGGCATCTTTCTTTTAGGAGCGCTCAAGGTTTAGGGTTTAAGGTCTAGAGTTCAGGGTTCAGGGGTGGAGGGCTTAGGGTTTAGGGCTTGGGGTTTAAGGTCTTGGGTTTCAGGGTTGGGGGCTTAGGTCTGCTGCATGTTCCACACAACCTCTTGCCGCTCAATCGTTCAAGCTCCCCGACGTACTACGGCCGCCCAGAGACAGCAACAATGCTTTATAAAGAGGGTCAAGATCCCAAGAAGACCATTCGAAACGCTTAAAAACCCCAAACCCTCAACCCCAGGTTCGTTCAACGGGCGTTGGATTCGACAGAGAACCCTGAACACCCTTCAAGAATTCTGTTAGTGGGCTTTGTGAGGTTTAGGCGGCTTAGCGGGCTTTGCGCTGTAGGGTGTGGGGCTTATGGTCTTGACGCTTTCAGGTTTTTTCGGGTTTGGGGTTTATAGGGCTTATAGGTTTCACAGGGATTTTTAGGGTATATAGGACCGGTGCAGGGTCTGGGGTCTTGACGTTTTAGATTAGGGCTTTTTTAGGGCAATAGGGTTTATAAGGCTCGGGCTTTGGGTGTGAACAGAAGGTGCATCTTGGGCTAAGGAATCAGCATTGCGAGATAGTAGCAAAGAATATTGGTGGTTAGTTAAGGGACCCCGAAGCCCTAAGCCCTAAACCCTAAACCCTAAACCCTCTATAAACCCTCAACCATCTGCGCTTTGCTTTTGCAGGCGGAGATGCTTGACCAGAGCTTAAGTTGGGTCGGGAAGAGAATGCAAAGGGCGCACCCCCCTTTTTGCTTTAAAGGGGGGCTTCTAAGGGGCTACCTGAAACCAAACACGGCAGAAGGGGCCAACGCTGGGTTTAGGGTTTAGGGTTTAGGGTTTAGGGCTTAGGGCTTAGGGCTTAGGGTTTAGGGTTTAGGGTTTAGGGTTTAGGGTTTAGGGTTTGAAGGTTCTGTGCTGCCAGAAACCCAGGTGTTGCGCTGCCAGAAACCCAGGCCCCTGGGAGGATCCGAAGAGTAGATTCCTCTTTGAGGGTTCCGAAAAATGACCCAATAGTCGTATGTATGTAGGACCTTTATGCGTTATTTGACGGTCCTGCTTCGCCTTCCAAAACTTTAAGGATTTTAAGGAATTTAGGGGTTTTCCAAAATTTTAAAAGGACCACAAAATCCTTAAAATTTTGAAAGCCCGGACCTTTCAAAATTTTAAGGATTTTAAGGAATTTAAGGCCTTTTAAATTTCTTAAAATCCATAAAATCCTTAAAATTTTGAAAGAAAATTAAGTTATTTTCCGGAAAGAGGCAGGCCCATTTAAAATTTTAAAAATCCTTAAAATCCTTAAAATCCTTAAAATTTTGAAAGGTTGGGGCTTTCAAATTTTTAAGGATTTTAAGGAATTTAAGGCCTTTTAAATTTCTTAAAATCCTTAAAATCCTTAAAATTTTGAAAGAAAATTAAATCATTTTCCGGAAAGAGGCAGGCCCATTTAAAATTTTAAAAAATCCTTAAAATCCTTAAAATCCTTAAAATTTTGAAAGCCCGGGCCTTTCAAAATTTTAAGGATTTTAAGGAATTTAAGGCCTTTTAAATTTCTTAAAATCCTTAAAATCCTTAAACTTTTGAAAGAAAATTTAATCATTTTCCGGAAAGAGGCAGGCCCATTTAAAATTTTAAAAATCCTTAAAATCCTTAAAATTTTGAAAGCCCGGGCCTTTCAAAATTTTAAGGATTTTAAGGAATTTAAGGCCTTTTAAATTTCTTAAAATCCTTAAAATCCTTAAAATTTTGAAAGAAAACTAAATTATTTTCCGGAAAGAGGCAGGCCCATTTAAAATTTTAAAAATCCTTAAAGTCCTTAAAAATCCTTAAAATTTTGAAAGGTTGGGCCTTTCAAAATTTTAAGGATTTTAAGGAATTTAAGGCCTTTTAAATTTCTTAAAATCCTTAAAATCCATAAAATCCTTAAAATTTTGAAAGAAAATTAAAATATTTTCCGGAAAGAGGCAGGCCCATTTAAAATTTTAAAAATCCTTAAAATCCTTAAAATCCTTAAAATTTTGAAAGGTTGGGGCTTTCAAAATTTTAAGGATTTTAAGGAATTTAAGACCTTTTAAATTTCTTAAAATCCTTAAAATCCTTAAAATTTTGAAAGAAAACTAAATTATTTTCCGGAAAGAGGCCCATTTAAAATTTTAAAAATCCTTAAAATCCTTAAAATCCTTAAATTTTTGAAAGCCCAGGCCTTTCAAAAATTTAAGGATTTTAAGGAATTTAAGGCCTTTTAAATTTCTTAAAATCCTTAAAATCCTTAAAATTTTGAAAGAAAATTATATTATTTTCCGGAAAGAGGCAGGCCCATTTAAAATTTTAAAAATCCTTAAAATCCTTAAAATCCTTAAAATTTTGAAAGGTTGGGGCTTTCAAAATTTTAAGGATTTTAAGGAATTTAACGCCTTCTAAATTTCTTAAAATCCTTAAAATCCTTACACATTTGAAAGAAAATTAAATTATTTTCCGGAAAGAGGCAGGCCCATTTAAAATTTTCAAAATCCTTAAAATCCCTAAAATCCTTAAAATTTTGAAAGCCCGGGCCTTTCAAAATTTTAAGGATTTTAAGGAATTTAAGGCCTTTTAAATTTCTTAAAATCCTTAAAATCCTTAAAATCCTTAAAATTTTGAAAGAAAATTAAATAATTTTCCGGAAAGAGGCAGGCCCATTTAAAATTTTAAAAATCCTTAAAATCCTTAAAATCCTTAAAATTTTGAAAGCCCGGGCCTTTCAAAATTTTAAGGATTTTAAGGAATTTAAGGCCTTCTAAATTTCTTAAAATCCTTAAAATCCTTAAAATCCTTAAAATCCTTAAAATTTTGAAAGAAAATTAAAGTATTTTCCGGAAAGAGGCAGGCCCATTTAAAATTTTAAAAATCCTTAAAATCCTTAAAATCCTTAAAAATTTGAAAGGTTGGGGCTTTCAAAATTTTAAGGATTTTAAGGATTTTAAGGATTTTAAGGATTCTTAAAATTTTAAATGGGCCTGACTCTTTCCGGAATATATTTTAATTTTATTTCAAAATTTTAAGGATTTTAAGGATTTTAAGAAATTTAAAAGGCGTTAAATTCCTTAAAATCCTTAAAATTTTGAAAGCCCCAACCTTTCAAAATTTTAAGGATTTTAAGGATTTTAAGGATTTTTAAAATTTTAAATGGGCCTGCCTCTTTCCGGGAAATAATTTAATTTTCTTTCAAAATTTTAAGGATTTTAAGGATTTTAAGAAATTTAAAAGGCCTTAAATTCCTTAAAATCCTTAAAATGAAAGGCCCGGGCTTTCAAAATTTTAAGGATTTTAAGGATTTTAAGGATTTTGAAAATTTTAAATGGGCCTGCCTCTTTCCGGAAAATGATTTAATTTTCTTTCAAAATTTTAAGGATTTTAAGGATTTTAAGAAATTGAAAAAGGCCTTAAATTCCTTAAAATCCTTAAAATTTTGAAGGGCCCGGGCTTTCAAATTTTTAAGGATTTTAAGGATTTTAAGGATTTTTAAAATTTTAAATGGGCCTGCCTCTTTCCGGAAAATAACTTAATTTTCTTTCAAAATTTTAAGGATTTTATGGATTTTAAGGATTTTAAGAAATTTAAAAGGCGTTAAATTCCTTAAAATCCTTAAAATTTTGAATGGCCCGGGCTTTCAAAATTTTAAGGATTTTAAGGATTTTAAGGATTTTTAAAATTCTAAATGGGCCTGCCTCTTTCCGGAAAATAATTTAATTTTCTTTCAAAATTTTAAGGATTTTAAGGATTTTAAGAAATTTAGAAGGCGTTAAATTCCTTAAAATCCTTAAAATTTTGAAAGCCCCAACCTTTCAAAATTTTAAGGATTTTAAGGATTTTAAGGATTTTTAAAATTTTAAATGGGCCTGCCTCTTTCCGGAAAATAATTTAATGTTCTTTCAAAATTTTAAGGATTTTAAGGATTTTAAGAAACTTAAAAGGCCTTAAATTCCTTAAAATCCTTAAAATTTTGAAAGGCCCGGGCTTTCAAAATTTTAAGGATTTTAAGGATTTTAAGGATTTTTAAAATTTTAAATGGGCCTGCCTCTTTCCGGAAAATAATTTAATTTTCTTTCAAAATTTTAAGGATTTTAAGGATTTTAAGAAATTTAAAAGGCGTTAAATTCCTTAAAATCCTTAAAATTTTGAAAGGCCCAGGCTTTCAAAATTTTAAGGATTTTAATGATTTTTAAAATTTTCAATGGGCCTGCCTCTTTCTG